TTGTGTTTCTATCTCCAGGCGATGGAAGGGGCGTCAGCATCTATGTCATCGATACAGGCATCAGGACCACCCACGAAGAGTTTGAGGATAGAGCCAAGTTTGTGTACGACGCCATTGAGGGCGCTGTGGTAATTCCTCCCCCCACAAATGGAAATTTTATGCAAAAATGGAAGCCACCAGCTATAGCTGGCGCAGTCAAATCCCACAAGAGTGTGTGCTGTTGATTCAGAATCGGGCAAGGCCTAGGATTCCTTTCGATGTAAATGATTTTTTCCGTCCCTTATCTGAATACGTTTGCCAATTTCCCTCATATACTGTTTAATTGAATACTCCTGCAACTCTCGTGCATTGATTCGAGGCGTGTTGAAAACTCGCGTGCATTGTAAAACAGTTGGGTATAATTGGTGTAAATAATATCAACTTCCCAACCTCTGGCCACAAGGTGTCCAACTGTTGAGTAAATCCTTCGGAAACTTTAGTGACCAAGACTGAGACCAAAAGTAACCAACATTTCGATAATTTAGCTCCGTCCAATGTTTTGTTTTTTTGCCCGGTGCTTTTACAGTGTCCACATATACATTTAGGTGACTTTAGGTTATGAGCTGCACGAGAAAGGGCTGCATTGGTAGGGGGCTCACTGAATGCCATCTTGACCCTGCATACACATGAACCTGAGCTCCCGTATTCACCGAGCCAAATTCCACCAGCTAACTATTATCAGTCGGCAAATAGTAGCTGATCGAACGTAGCCACGTTTGGGGCCGACCAGAGACGTTCACGTCGTAAAGAATTAGTGCTCAGGCGCAGGGCGTAAATGTACCGAAAATTCATCACGGTTAAGCAGTGGTCTTTGATCGAGCTTGCTGGTTTTCGGTCTCAAAGCGTCCCTTGTTACGGACGGACTCCATAAATGTTAGACAAAAGCGGAATAGATCTTTGAAAATTAGCTCCCTTGGAAGGCAAATACGCTGCTTAATGATACAACTTTGGGTCCCGTGGTCAGAAATAGGATGCGGATTGGGACTGGGGCGTTTCAAAGAACGATAAGCGTACAGATTTGACACAGAATATTTCTGCTCAGCGACTACTCGTTACCAGTTTATGTCTTCCACTGATCGGTTCCGTTTCTTGGCTCGGGAAGAACATTTTGCTAAGCAACATTTTTACTGGGTAGCCTTGTAAACTTAAATCCGATTTCGATTTTTTTTCTTCTTGTCTTTAATTAATATCTCCTCCATGGTTTTCTGCTTTATATCAGGGCAACGGGACCGACTGTCAGGGCCACGGGACGCACTGCGCCGGTACAGCGGCTGGGCTTCGCTACGGTGTCGCCAAGAAAGCCATGGTGTACGGCGTGCGGGTGCTTGGCTGTCAAGGCTCTGGCTCGTGGTCGTCCGTCATTAATGGTAAGAGAAAATGTCAGTCACGTCTCACATTTGTTTATTTTACCAATCCCCGCACCGATTCAAAAGGAGAGCTTATGTAGCAATTAATATTTCACCTGCAGTTCATCGCTGGCTTTGACTAAAAACATATATATGGTCGATTTTCTTTTTTTCCAGGGATGGATTGGGTAGCTAAGTATGTATCGTCCAGCCGTGGCCTCCATGTCGCTTGGAGGCGGTGGCGCCCGCTCAGTGGACGAGAGCGTGGCTAACTTGTATGCCGCTGGTGTGACGGTGGTTGTTGCGGCTGGAAACAACGGCTACGAAGCCTGCCAAAAATCGCCGGCAAGGGCTCCAGAGGTTAGTTTGAACTAACGTCGACATAATGAAATCTGAAAGCGAACATTTTGCTGTCACAACAGTTGTGTTTCTTTCGTGTTTAGGGTCCATACCAAAGAAGCAGTTCAGTGTGGCATAATATCAATAATTTTGACAATGAAATTCACGTGACGTTTTGGGGTGAACTTTCAAATTGATCAGCATGTTAAAATTAATGAAACAAACTGCTGATGCATTTTGTTAAATACGTGTACATGTCAAACTGTTTTTTGGAATTCTGCCTCTAAAAGGTTGGAAGGCTCTTTAATATTTACATCTTCCATCTCCATGAAAAAAAAAGCAAACAAATGGAAGCCACGAGGCTCAGTGAAACGGGTGCTTGTTTTGAAACTGCATGTACCGTTCTGCAGTATGATTTCAGTCGGGCGCCCGATTACGAGCGCTATTCCATCACCCACCACTGATGGAAGTCGGTGTCACATTTCCCCCCACTTCAGGCTATTACTGTTGGTGCTTCCGAAAGCGACGACTCCCGGGCTTATTTCTCCAACTTCGGCGGCTGTGTAGACATCTTCGCCCCCGGCCGCTACATTACCTCCGCCTGGCACGAGCAGGATGATCAGTACAATACCATCAGTGGCACATCAATGGCCACACCGCATGTAGCAGGCAAGGCTGGGTGACGGGTGTCATAATTGAACATTTAGCTACAGGCTTCCTAATTCCTAAACCGCTCCGACCCATTTTGTTGCTTCCAGAATTCCTTAATGACAGGTTAAAACATCATAAGGGATTTCAGGAAAACTAGAGCAGAAAGGGCAGTTATGGCGTGAAAAGACCAAAAGCATTCTCTTCTGAAGTTTTGGAAGAAAATAGAAAGAAGATAAGGAAGAAAATAGACCCGAAGTCGTTTATTTGTTTTACAATGCGGTGGAAGGATTATTCATTAAGGTGGAAACTTTGCAGTTGAGTGTCAGAACTATTGTATACTTTTAACAGTCTATATATATTTTTAGATGGAGACATCACCATAAAAGTCGTGAGATCACCATAAGCATATACCTCGTACCTTTATGAGTCCTCAGTTATTGTCTTTAATTGCTTCAATTCAAATTGAAAAAGGAGTCATCCTATCTCTGAGGCTCTCTCTTATTTCTTTAAACTTTTGGTTCTTCTTCAGGTGCTGCAGCGCTGCTTCTGAGCAATGACCCCTCTCTGACCCCCGCTGACGTCACCAACAGGCTGCTCAACAGCGCCACCCGTGACAAGATCACCGACGCGCGCGACTCGCCCAACCTTCTCCTCTTCACACCTTAGACTTACTGCAATTCAACTTTCCTAACGTCTGATTTAACTTGGAGTGATGCACAATATTTTGGCTTAATTTTAATCAAAATGAGTTGATGATCAAGCGATCAAATTTATAATCTTTGTGGTTATGGGTTCATTACTGCTAAGAGAACAACGAATACCCCTTGAACCAAACACGCATGCGTAATACATGCTGTAATATTAAGATATTAGTTCCGCAAACACCACGTGATTGCTCACATATAATTTTGTCATCCGTCTATTTTCTGTCTGTAAAGTACCAGCTCCTTTTATTGAGATTTTTGTTTTCAATTTAACCAGATCAAGAGACGCAGCTGCAAATGCTCTCAACCAAATGAAGGACAATAAATATTTTCATTCAGTTTCAATCACCCTGCTGTTTCACCTGTATGATTTAATTGTGGATTTTGTGTTGCCCACTTGAAATAAAAACCGCTTCTTCCGACTGACTCCCCTCTTCACGGCTAGATTTCGAATTAGCAATATAAACCAAACAGTATAGTTCTTGTTCATATTTCAAGAATTTCCCAACGAAGCGTATAGTGGCCTTGGCGATAAGTTGCTCCCACTTCTAATTACAACAAAGATCCCAGAAGCCATAAACTCTTAAATCAATACAGACAAAGCAATTATGATAAACATCAAGCTTAGTTAATCACCTATTTAATTCTCTTGCAACCGCTAAAGGAAGCCTTTGTAAGAAGTTCCTTTTTATGAATTGTTAATGCGTCATCTGGTGAGCATTACATTATTTCCTGTTCAATGATTTTCGCAATGGCAATGTAGGATCTCATCTAAGTGGACATGCGTCGAGGGAGCTATTTTAAATCAATAGCGTGCAATTTAAACGGAGACCTTTACATTGCGCCTGAATTGCATGCACCAAGTACCGTCAACGTTGAACACTAGGACGGCATACTGCCCCATGACACGAGGGAGAAGAAGTGTGCCCGTTTTAGATTGTATTTGTTGTCGTCATCCGTGTTCAAAAATATACCGGGAAAGTGATTTCTCTCCAATCAAATATTAGTGGCTGCAAGCCTAATTAATTAAAGACTTTGAAAATGCGACGTAACTAACATTGAAATACAATTTTTTTTACGACAAACTCTTACTGAAGCACCATGTTTTTTTCCGCTTTCTTTCCGTTTTCTCATTGGGTGGCGGATGCAGAGCTGGGATGAACCTGGGGAAGGGCTTTATGGAGTAAAATTGTAAACACGCCAACAGAAAATGGCTAATGACGTTACAGTGATAATTAAAAATAAAAAGTAGCGAAATAAGCGGTCCCAGTCTTAACCCATCTCCCTTATGACCTGGCTATTAGTGAAGCAAAGCAGGCGGTTGGATGTGGTAATAAAATCAGTAAGCCTAAACACTCTTTTTTTCTCTTTCAGTATAGTCTCATATTGGGGCGCTTCGGCAGCTTATACGGAAAATTTTCAAAGGGGAAAATGGGAATGAGGTTGAAGAAACGATGTGTCTACGTTTCTGCGGTGAGCGCCCTCCTGCGATAATACATTTCACCGGACGTTGACACCCTCAGCATGTATTTCCTTGGAGGGATTTTGCAGTTCGAAAAAGTAAGAACCTTTTGGAATTAATGACAGAAAATTCCAGAAGACTGCTAACTCCCACGCGGTTTATCCAAAGAGAATTACGCTTATGGGGTTTCTTAACAATGGGCGCAACTCGATTAATCGGTACTTTTTAATTAATATCACTTGTTAATCTTTAATATCAGTTCGATTTTGAATCCGGTTAAAGATAATGCCTTCGTATATAAAAGCACAAGTTTTACAATAATGCGATAAAGGAAAAGAAAAGTTTGCAAATGTATTTGCTCCTGATAATGATGACGTAACGATATTAATCGATACAGACTACTCACTGAAATGCTATAAATGCGGCGAATCATTTAGCTGAAGTCATTCCTGTTTGTGGACTTCCTCGAGACACGGACTGAGAAAAACGTGAGTATGAATCGGTACTTTACTTCTGAAGAGTATCTGGTTTGCTTCCGAAATGTCTGTGCTGCACGAGAGGAGGCCCTCTGTATAGTTTACTTGATGAAAAGTCGGTCCGCCCATGGGCTTATTTATTGAATTTTGAAACTTCATAACCCGAAATTTCCTTCTTTTCCCCGCATACAGCAACCATGCGCGGATTGATTCTGATGTGTACCCTGGCTGTTTTGGTCGTTGTGGCCAGTGGGGCTTTTGCCCCACTCCGCACGGCTAAGGAGCGCATCGCTGGTCGCTACATTGTCGGCCTGAAGGTAATTTAGAACATCAAAACTCCACACCATTGTTTCATTCTCAAAGCTTTAGCTTATGGGACAGTATAGGCTCTGGTCCTTTCCAATCGCTACCACGCTCTCTGACTGAAAATAAGAGTTATTTTACCTCATATCGAAATCCTAGCTCCATGCAAGAAAAGCGACAAAAATTGGCCGCAATTTTTTGTCCTCAGTTTAAGTTAGGGCAAGCAACAAAATCGAGCTAACCTGAGGATAAACCCCATCAAGAAGTGTGCATTGTGAGTTGTTTGAAACAAGGAAGAATGCCCCGGTCTCCGTAACAGTAAAGGAAGACGCTTCTAACTTTGACGGAACTTTTGTTTGGTCAGGATGATGTTGATGTTGACATGATTGCCGACAGACTTCAGGGAATCTTCCGCTCTGGCAAGCTCCAGGCTCGCATCTTCAAGCGCATCAGGCACGTCATGAAGGGCCTTACTGTTGAGCTGAACGAGAAGGCGCTAGAATTGGTTAGTTCCAAGTAACCCCCACTACCCGGAGTGTTGAAGAAAAAATAAAACTGAAATTGGTGGATTCAGGACTGGTATAGGGATTACCATTACAAAGTTTCAACAGTCGGTTATACGGGGCAATTGCAGTGAACATACTCACGGAATTCGTTTAGAATTTTTCCCAGTGCTACCTACTCATATGTGACATGGCACGACAAAATGAATCTAAAGTCACATTTTGCTCTTTCCTATTTTGAGGGTTCAAAGTCAGATATTGAATTGGAGGTCAATTTTGGCATTTTGTAATATTTTGAAAGAGTAACGGCTCTGTTTAATTCCAATTTTGATAGCACGACCAGATATTTAAACATGTTATTTTCTCAGCAATTTCAATGATAGCATTATTCGTGCCCTGTCAGAAATGTTGAAACAGTGTCAGAAACAAAGACGCGAAGCCGCTAGAGTAATGTCGCATTATCACCTTATACTGTACTTTTACCTTACGTGTTCCGTGTACGTGCCATTGGAAAGCTCTTGTTATGCTGTTTTAGAAAGTACCAATATCTCATTTTTTTTTAAATTCCGACTTTCAGCTCATTTTGTGATGACAGGTCACATATATAAAAATTCAACACATCCAAAATAATTATGAAGCACAATTTCATCTGACATTTCACAGTTAGTAACTGACTGAGCATACTGTTATTGATGGTGGCCACTTTATGTGTTAATGGTGCATTAAAACAACATTTTGATGGGGAACTCTGGAGGATGACCTCCGTACTGAGGTGAAAATAATGTGCATAGAATGAACAGCCCTCGTAAAACATGTTCTCTCTTGAGGGACAAATGAGCAAAGGACTAAAGTCATCTTTCTTTAATGGTTTTAAAAAAAAGGTTCGTAGCTTGGACTTTGTTGACTTCGTTGAGGAGGATGGAATCGTCCGGTCTCAGGCTCTCGGCTCCTGGGGTCTAGACCGTATCAACCAGCGGGATCTGCCCCTTGATGACAGCTACAGCCCGTCCAGTAAGATTTTCTTTTTGTCATTGTGTTGTCAATTGCATAATACCGTGTGTTTATGATCATTGGCATATTTGTTTTCATAATGTTTGATTCCAAAAGGGATTGTAAAATGGGCTTTTTATGTAAAATGGGAATTTAAAAAAGGCTATTAAGCTGCACTCTCTCCTTTTCTGCCTTAATGCAAAGTCGAATAGTGACTAATATTCAATGAAAGGCTGACATGAAATTACTTCCACTGATGGTTATTTGGTTAACATTCGATTAATTTGTAACTTAGGAGACTAACTTGTGAAATTTCGACCCACGGCGAGATTGGTATAAACTTTAATGAAAGGATTTCTTTTTTCAATAACTAATTGAAACAAACACACCTTAATTATATATAACGGGTTTGCCCTTACCCAACGTATATTTATAAGCACTGTATGCTCAGTGCTTGTCCGAGAGCTTGCGAAAAAAACCTCACAAGCTTACTCGGGTACGTTGGGTAAGGGCAAACCCGTTATATATAATTAACATCTCCCCAACGCAAAAAAAAATACATCTTGATAAACACACCTTCTTTTATAAGTTGGATTTCAAAACAATAAGGGCATTCTCATTTGCAAAGTTGTGTATGCATTAATGGCCTGTGACAGTGACAGTTAATCAAATAGCGCTACCACTGAAAATTTTGACTTTCCACCAACATCGTTTCCAAAACCTAACACAAAATCATTGACATTATTGCCAAATCCTTTGTTTTAGCTGACGGCAGTGGAGTCAGCGTATACGTCATCGATACCGGTATTATCCCAACCCACGTTGACTTCGGTGGCCGCGCCACTGCCGCCTACGACGCCATTGGCGGAGATGTAAGTAGAGATCTGAAGGGACAACATAAAACCGTCTCAACTTCATGTCTGACTTCTTAGAAGTTACGCCAATTTAGGCTAGCAACAGCCATTGGCGTATCAAGGTGGGGATGGAGTCGTTACTCTTATTTCCTAAGGAGGGAAGGGGGTCGGCACAATCTGTGCCGACTCCATGGCCGACTCTGACATACATGTATACATGTATGTACGTCACACCTCTGTAAAACGTTAGTCAGTTTGCTATACTAAGCTTCGTCCAAGAGCAATTTTAGGCGCCATTCTTGACAGTCCATAAGTCGCAACCATGGTGTCTGTGGCATATTCAGTGATGATGCGTACAATGTTGCGTACGGTATACCTAAATCCCCAATGGTTATTTCTCCGACAGGGCACTGACTGCAACGGCCATGGGACTCACTGCGCCGGCACCGTCGGTAGCGACACCTACGGTGTTGCCAAGAACGCCCGTCTCTACGGTGTGCGTGTGCTCAGCTGTCTGGGATCCGGCTCATTCTCCGGCATCATCGACGGTAGGTTCCCATAAGCCGCTCACCTGACCAAACATCCCAGCGCTTTTCATATTAAATTGAACATTGTAGGTATGTCATATAAGCGGAACCATAGCTATTTTACACCCTACTGGTGGGGATTTTGCTTGTCCAGGCAATAAGGGTACCGGTAATAGTTTTAGGGTTACACTGACCCTTGACACGTAAAACAGATCAAGTAAGTCGAATGTCGGTCTTGATTTTTTTAAAGGTATGGATTGGGTGGCCGTCAACGCTCAGTTCCCCGCCGTGGCTTCTATGTCCCTGGGTGGAGGTGCCTCTCTGTCCGTGGACCTGGCCGTCCGCAACCTCGTCCAGGCCGGAGTAACCGTGTCCGTTGCCTCCGGTAACAGCAACGCCGATGCCTGCAACTACTCTCCCGCCAGAGCTCGTGATGTGAGTTCAAAACTTGACACGGGGTATTCTTTGACAGTATGGGAATATGCATTTGTACCCCGATTTCTTCAATTAACATTAAGCTGTAAAACTTTATAAGGAAAGTGGACCAAAGATGGCAGAGAAATTGTAGGCCCGAAATACTGTGGAGGAAACAGTTTGAAACTTTATTCATTTGGGACGCAAATGATCCATTTCTATAAAGTGCCTAATGGTTCTGTTGGATTACCCGAGGTAGGGTCTCAAAATGACAACATGTATGCAAGGAAAACGTCCAAAGAAATTCTCTTAACTTCCCTGTTAAGTACATCAACAAAGTTTCGGTTTCTTTGGTGTCATATCCATTACTCTTTTCCTCTCTATATTTCTCCGAATTCCACAGGCCATCTCCGTTGGCGCCACCGACAGCTCCGACTCCAGGGCCTCCTTCTCTAACTACGGCTCCTGCGTCGACATCTTCGCCCCGGGAGTAGACATCACCAGTACCTGGATCGGACGCTCCAACACCGCCACTAGTACCATCAGCGGTACCTCCATGGCTTGCCCGCACGTTTCTGGTGAGTATCCTATCTGCCTTGAGAAGATTCACCCCCTCATCGGCTGAAAAGAGCCATGTTGGTGGAAAGTGTTCATTTAGTTGGGAGCGGTGCGACCGCGACAAATGCATTTCATCGTAATACCAACAGTCTCCTGCATTATTCACATGTACTCTTGCATTATCAATGATTGCAGGCGTCGCTGCTCTCATCCTGGGCCAGAACCCCAGTCTGCAGCCCGATGAGGTCATGGCGCAGCTCCTTGCTGACGCCACCTCCGGACGAATCAGCAACAAGGGAATCCTCTCTCCCAACCTCCTGCTCTACACCAACCTGTAGAGGGAGCCCTTCCGTCGGACCCGCTTCAACAGAGTAAGTAAGGCAGTGGTTGTCACTGTAATTTTCTTATCTATTGGGATGCATCTGCATTATTTTAACGAGAGAAAGCGCTAATGCTTGAAATTCATAATGAGAACGGACACAGGATCTACAAGATCAAAACGGGGTGTTTCTATTTATAAGCTCATTTCAACACTGTGTAACTATTCATTCCTACTTAGCACATTCTGAACGCCTCAAATACTTGCATTCATCAGATTATGTTTTATGATAGCTTATAAGTACAAGACCGAAGTTTCCTGTAAACGTGACCCACTGCAATAAATGCATGACGATTATCCATTTGGGCATCATGAAATTCCCGATGATTTTAATATTTACGTAATGCTCAGTTTGATTTACAATCCATAAATTATTCTGTTTGTCCTACAGAATCGAGGACCACCTGTCGACGACTACCAAGTTAACTTTACGGTTTTTGAACCCTACTTTTTAGTCAATGATAACTTTATTACCAATAATTCGTTTTACCAATTAGTAAATGACTTGCCGTGTAATCACTGAGCCCAGGATATTTCAGTGGATGATTTAAGTTTTGGTCAGTTTTAAAAGCCGAAGGTATACAGATTTTGTCGATCAAGTTTGGCCCATTTGAGGCCATAACTTCATATAGAAGGGTACATGAAATGAATAAAATGTTGTAAATCAAACGTACCTAATGGTCTTGCTCTCATTGTCTTGTCTTCTTGTGATACCGACTAACTTTGGCAAGCATTGTCCTAAATTGTGAGCTGGTCGCCGTCCATGGAATTATGCTGATGCCCTGGTTGCGTGCGCTAGGTCGTTGCTCTAAAGTTGTGTTATGTGCGTCTTTAAAATAAAGCCCGGCTTCCATATCGACGCATTAAGGAGACACATAGAGCATCATCGATCAGTAACAATGTGTGGCAACTATATCGTGTTAAAAAGCATCGAAGCGAGCACCATCTCGACTAGTTGCTGGCTTATTTCAAAATTGAAGTTGCCAGTTCCAGTAACAGTTTTGTAATTCTTGCAATGACATCTAACCAACCAACCAAACCAACCACACGCTGTCTCAATCGCACATCTTGTAAGTACATGTGCTTACATTCCGTATATGAGGGGCGTTTTTGGTGTCGGTGTGAAATAATAACTAGGACCTACGTTTTCTTCCTGATTTTCTAAATTTTCTAAAATTTCGCATTGGACTTCTTGGTGTTTCTGCGATGCTTAGGCATTCTGCCTACGGGGACAATTATTAGCCGCGATAACATCATCAACGCACAAGGCTCGTTTTGTAGGTTGTGGCCCATCATCCTACGTTGTCATAATGAGTTGCCTGAAGGTCTGGCTCAATGATATCCTTTTGAACAAAGGCATAATGCTGCGTCATAGCGCGCCCATCCACTTCCCTTGGGAGTCGTACACTGACAACACCATCAAGACAACATTCAGTTTCTCGGTACCGCCCTGACATTTTCGCCTCCAGCTTAATTGGTATAGATAAATGGACGTCATAAAATACTGAAGACAAGAAGTGATCGGTCGCACAATCGACACTAATTTTGAAGGATTGAGGGTGTCGCGCACGAGCGGTTCACTTCAAAGAAGGCCTATCTATGCCAGGCAAGTTTCGCCACACCCCTTAATATTGTACATTCGCTCAATTTACTTTTTGCTATTTTAAACGGGGTACTTGGGTGCCTTGTTGGTTGTTATGCTATACAATGTGACTCTCCATTAGCTGGAAGTCAAATTGTGACTTCATTCCAGGGAGACAACCTCAAACTGTTATTAAGATATAGTTTTACACGCAGAATAGCTGGAATGTTTTCCCTTTTTCTGTTCAAATTTTGCTTTTTTTGAAGATTCATTTTTGGTTTAAGTGTAAGGCAATACGCTAACGAACGACCCTCACACAGACAAGTTTTTAACGTGCAAATTTTGGATTACCTTTTCAATCGAAAAACCTGTGCACTAAAAAGTGTCTTCCTTGAGTGACTCACAACGCCCCTCGTTTCCAAAAAGCATGCATGGACAATTAATGCTGTTTGAATATTGGCAATACCGGTACTTAACCATAAAAGGATGTCAAAGTAGTTTTATACCTTGGAGAAGTGTTTACAGTTGCACGAAAGTACGCCTCAGATGATATCATCGCCTGGCCCCTTTTAAGTTCATGATAGTGCAAATGGCGGCGATTCTATGAGCAGCGGTCCTTTTTCTACGAAAGGGACACTGCGTGACGCATGGGACAAGAAGCACACGTACTGCCAATGCAGGTATAATTGCTGATCAATTTTACATTGTCTGTATTGTCTGGCGTTACGGGAGAGCGATCTCTAGTCAGTCGATTGCTAGAGGTAATGAATTTGTGTGCATGTTGGAACATGATGAATAAAGTCATGTTATAGAATACAATTCATTCTATCACAAAAAGATGCGTTAACAAACTGCTTCTGAGAATTTGGAACCCGTCTGTGTTGAGGCGCAATACGCACTGGAGATCACGGAGGCCGTGCAGTAGGAACGCTGACTGCCATTCGTCGCGAAAGCCACACTTAGCACGGGCAGCTGACAGTTTTGGTGTTACAAGTCAAGACTTCTGTGTAATCGCAACGCTATCCCGGGTGCCAAGATGTATGTTGTCAAGGTTTTGGGCATCAGCTTGGCCGTTTACCTATTGGTGTGGGCATCTGAGACCTGCCCTTCCGCGCCCGGTGGTGCTGCGTGTTGCCTCTCGGGTTGGGAGAGGTGGAACGGTTCCTGTTACATCTTCATACCTTCCATGGCCTGGAACGAGGCCCGGTCGGCTTGCCAGGCCTGGGGTGGTGTGATGGCCGCTCCGCGCTCACAGGAGGAAAATAATTTCCTGGCGGAAACGGCTGACAAAACTGGCATCCATTGGTTGTGGCTGGCCTGTCAAAATGGGACCGAAAATTGGGAATGTGGAGGACGGGAGGCGGGTATTTTCTCTAACTGGCGAGAGGGAGAGCCCAGCTATTTTCCTGTCGAATGCCCTGCTATGCGTACACGAGACAACGATTTCGGGAAATGGAATGACATATCATGCGAAGGTAAGGCGTTTCATGGTGCTGCATGTGTTCGTCGCCCCAACCAGCTCCGCTCCTTCTGTCTACCCCTCGGTCCCGACGGACGGCCTCTCTCGGTGTGCCTTCGTAGTCACGTCGTCCATGAGTTCCCTACCACGACCATCAGCCGCTGCGGCTCGGCCTGCTGTGGCGACCCTCTTTGCCGATCCTTCAACATCCGAAATACCACGAAAGGGGGAAAAATCTGTCAATTAAGCGATGCCACCAGATTTGACGACCCCAGCAAGTTTGAGAACGACGGATCTTTCTGCCTGTACTTCGAAGTTTAGATCCACTGTGTCAAGGACAGAGTCATCTTGGTGAGGACAGATACACAAAGACTTTGTTCATCTTCTGGACAAATGGGACACCTGATCATTTGAAATACAAATTTAATTATCTCAGTCAACAGCCAGGCGCTTAAAAAGTTCCGACGGCTTGTACCTTTCCCTATTGTTAGGCTGCATAAAAAAGAGTTGGTGATCGTCCCCGCCCCTAAGAAATACATTCCTCCCCTCATTTTTTTAAAGATTTTATTTATTGAAAAAAAATTAAAATTTAGCGATATTTTGATATTTCGCGCTTTGGACATGATACTTCCAGAAATCGCCGATTACTCCCGAACATCTACATGTACCAGTGCAGATTCACCTAACATCGACTACATGACGCGGCAAGATGGAGCCCATGGAACGAGGTTGAGATTCACCAATATAGTGGCAGTCATTCCCAGGTACTGATTCCACTTTACAGAGCTACAGCGCTGAGACCCTGTCTGAAAAAACCTATTTTCGTCTGGCTGTACAACCTCCATCTCCTTTTTTCACGAATGACTTGCCTGTGTAGAACCCTTTCGTAAACAAGATAAAGAAAACTCATTTCATTTGAGGAAACTGCTCATATATTTTCTAATCCAGCAAAGATGTATGTTGAACTGAAAAAAAGCCCTCCCACCCCAAGATTTAAAAAAAGGACGCTCAACGCTCAACAATTATTTCTTTTTGTGGCCTTAAAAGTTATCGGGATGTGTCAGAAGATGGCATATTGCTGACTAAATGATACAGATAATCTGGGTTGATTTTATACTGCCAATGAAATACAGTCGATTTATCTTTCACAACCGTTCATCTGCAGCGATATTTCAATACGTCGGACATTTTGCCGTCTTCAAGGGAAACGTTAAGTGTAAACACCGGCAGAGTTGAATCAGATCTGAGGAACACTGAGTCATTGGGAGCTAGACCAAATGCATGGAAAGTACTATGAAATTCTTCGTGTGCTGGCAGTATTCGGCTGTTGTTGACTTACTGAGACCTTACCGAGGAAAGGAAAATCGTTCCACCGGCAATATCAAAACTTGATTTGATTCCAAGTACACCTAATAGATTCACACAAAACAGGAGCCCACGCACATCTATATTTCAACTTGATATAAAATTTCAAAAAAGAACGTTGAATATCTAAAGTTTTCGGTTGCAAACAGGTTATTTTTATCAAACTGCAAATCAAACACCATCGGTTGCGATAATTTTAAAATGCTTATAATGACTGTAATTAAAAAATTAAAATTTCTTAAACGCTGTATTTCAGAAGAGGCAAACAACGCGAAGAAGCTAATTTGCGTGGGACGTTTTGCTTCACAAGTTGCGTCAGATAAGACAGGACAAGCAATGTCTATGATTGTAATGGAGAGAGACAGAATAACTGTACATACATTTCATAGCCACCTAAAGATTTTTTTATTTATTTCAACCTTTGTACACAGAGCCAATTAGTATAACTGCTGTACCATATCACATTATTGAAAACCTGAAAAATAGAAGTTCATGTCAGATGTATGAACAATGTGTCTCTGCCGCCTTTGTTTTGTGTCGTTTGCCTGAATTTGTGACTATTATTTACCAAAATCTACAGACACTGAAATAGCGTGCTCTATCGGTGTGTCAAGGGGACGCACAATGTTATCTCTACGGTTTAAAAGCTACACGATAGAGGATCCGCAGATGACCTGTCTACCGCTTCATGCGTTGCTGCATTATGCGCGGTACGCCCTGAAGCCGTCAGAGCGCCTGAAATATGGGACGCGCGCGGCGGAGTAACGGGGTGTTTTTGCATGTCTCGCAATTTCGCGCATCGGAAGGGGCACATATTCGGCTATAAATTTTTTATATGGAAAAAGACGATACCGAAAACGCTGCCTGATTCGGAAGAGTTCGAATGTTGAATATTTATCACTTAAAACAAAATCTCATCAACGAAGTTGAGTGGTGAGATGGGGAGAGTTGTCCATCAGGGAAAAAAAGGAATGTTCAGAAGGAGAAACTCTAGAGAATAAAAGTACATCACATTTTTAGAAAATTTATGAAAAATCTTCCCTTTGGCAAAATTCCTTGTCAGTTTTTTCAACCATCCATTTTTCCTCAGAAATGGTAAGCAATCTTTCTGATTGACCGAATGGCACTTTAAGAATTATCAGCTGCAGGACCTACAGACAGACCAAAAACCAACCAATATTCCTAAGCATTATTCTCATGTACGCTGCCCTCGTCTTGAGCCAGAACCCCAGACTACAGCCAGATGAGGTCATGGCCTAGGCTGGATACCTGACCCGATGATTCCAACTATTCTCGTCGAATCAAGATTTTATCAAGAGTTGTTAGGGAATCTTTGGTCAGGGAACCAGATTAGTCATGGACCAGCTCCTTGCTGCACATCTGGATGAATCAACAAGGGAATCCTCTCCCCCAACCTCTTACTCTACACCAACCTGTAGAGGGAGCCCTTCCATGGGGCCCGTGCTAACTCGGACGTTTAGTTGATAACTATTTCATAAATGGGCCTATTTGTAATCGTCGAGAGAAGGTACTCATGCTTGAAATTGATGGGAACGGACATGGGGTCTTCTATTTAAACACAGAGATGTTTCTGTTTGAGATCTTTGCTCCACTGAGTAACTACCATGGAGCTAAAAAAGGCATGTAAGATGTTACTTCGAATCTCGCATGTACATGTTACGATGATGGGTTATCACACACCGCTAGATTTGTTCATCCCAGCGCCTTTTCATACAAGGCGTTGGAATGGGAATTTGTAAATAAAGTATGTTAGAGCGACGGACTCGCATTGTGAGCATCAAGTTTCTCCGATCAACGTACGTGCATTCCGTGCACAGGGCACTATATGTTACTCTAGTTTTCTAAATTTTACCGACAATTATTATGCTGCAGTAGTAATGTCTCTTCCCGCTGCTCGTTTTGTCATGCTGCATTAGGCTATGCCAGAATCTTGTTTACGAGTGCTCAGAAGCCCGGCTAAATAATAACTTTTAGTTAACGAAGACAATTTTGCTACCTATGAATGCATATTCTGCGGTATTCCACTGGGACTCGTTCACTGATAATAGAGCCAATACGACAAGTACCGAGCATCAGTCATTCAGGTTGATGATACTTTCCGTAAATTGTTACCAGCAGTTTGTTAGTAATGAAAAAAGTGATGTCGATCGCTATACTAGAGTGGATAAATCAACGTCATAATTGTCGGAGACGGGAAATGCACTTTGGACAAAAATTAGTGTGCGTTGTCTGCTACCATAATAATTTTTCAGGTCGATAACCATAATGTGTCATGACAGACCATCTATTAAGGAGGTCCGCTTAAATTGTTAGTTGAAGGACGCCAAGGCAAAGGAAACGGGCAGATAGAGTCCAAATGTAACCGTCTCAATTATACAGAGTTTTATTTACATGTCAACTTTGGGGGTTCAAATATCTAGGTTTGATCACAGTTAATAACAATTCAAATCCTTTATTCCTAAAATTCCTATAATTTCCCCAAATCCCTAAAATTACCCCGAGTGCCAGGCCGGTGTGCGACCGTGGACTTGGCCTTCCAGACAGCACCTAATAATGAACAGTGTGTGGAGTAAAGATCGAAAGCCTAGTGCAAATCTTACGAGTCGCTACACAAACAGCCTAAGTGCAATGACCCCAATAATCATCAAGTCGGGTCACACACTATGGAATCATAGATTGCGAGGGTGGAAAGACTGCAATTCAGCTATTACAATGCAAAAAGCTAGTTTTCATGGTAACAGGCTAATCCTAAGATACTCACTCTGTGGTGCCCACACTGGAAAGGAATATAATTGTTACTCGCACGCCGGCGCCCAGCGCACTTCCTTCGCGGGACTTTGTTATACATTTCAAACGGGCTGGGCGGCGTGCCAAATAAACTTTGGTGCCCCCCTAAAACACGCTTCCCTACATTACTACTGCGCATGGAATTGTGGAAAATTTATCAGCACGTTTCTAAACAACCTCCCAGCAGTAGCAGCACTTAGACTGGTTCCCGTCCCGAACTTAGTCTCTGGACAGACGTTCTCCGAACTTAGCAGGGACGGGGGACCAGTCCACCATTCCCTATGCAATGCATTGGATTCGCCCATTATCTGGGCCGTTTTCCAATACTCAACTTCGGCTGCGTCTCAGTCTTCAACTGTTTTTTTTTACTACCTGACTTTGAAGCTGTAAGCGTACCAATTATTCTAATAGTGCCACAAAACATCACATAAGATGCAAGAGAGCAAAAAACTACAGTAATCAAATTTGATTTAAACGCGTCAGGCCCACAATCCGGAATTGGTTTCGGGGACGAAGCCTGAGACGGAGACGAGGTTGAGTATTGGAAAACGGCCCTGGATCGTAATTATGACGTCACTTCCATGGCACCTGGAGTTCAGGCACAACTTGAGTTTCCGTCTAATGGAAGCTGGTAATCACTGATCAGAAGTGCGTGCACTTGCATGACAAAGTCATGAACCAGAAAGCAGCACTTGTCGTGAGCTTAGCTCTCGGCCAATCAACGCACTGAATCTGTGGAAGAGGTATGCTAATCTAATTAGATTTCATCATTAAAAAAACAGATTAGGACAACAAATTTCATCTGAGAATTCGGAACCGTCTGTGTTTAGGAATAGTGCGCTCCTCAGATCACAGTGGCCCTGCAGAAAGCGCGCTTGCTGTCTGTCGTCGCTAAGGCACAATTGGACACAGACCAACAGACGATATCGGTGTTGCTATTAAATATTAAGGACTCCTGTTAAATCGCAACGATATCTCGTGCGCCAAGATGTATCCTGTCAGGTTTATCAGCATCAGCTTGACCGTTTCCCTAGCCGCATGGGCGGCAGGCACCTGCCCCTCCGCGCCTGGTGGTGCTGCGTATTGCCTCTCGGGTTGGGAGAGGTGGAACAGTTCTTGTTACATCTTCATACCTTTCACGGCCTGGAACGGGGCCTGGTATGCTTGCCAGGCCAGGGGCGGCGCGATGGCCGCTCCGCGCTCACTGGAGGAAAATAATTTCATGGCGGAAAGGGCAAACGAAAATGGCATCGGCTGGTTGTGGTTGGCATGTCGAAAAGGGGAACAACATTGGGAATGTGGAGGACTGGAGGCGGGTATTTTCTCTAACTGGCGAGAGAGAGAACCCAGCCATTTTCCCGTCGAATGCCCTGCTCTGCGTACACGAGGCGACGATTTCGGGCTATGGAATGACGTAATATGCACTGGTTTGTGTAAGGGTGGTGCCGCGTGTGTTCGTCCCCTCAACCAGCCCCGTTCCTTCTGCCTCACCCTCGGCCCCGATGGACGGCCTCTCACCGGGTGTCTTCGCGGTCACCGCATCGGTGAGTTCCTCACCACAACCATCGACCACTGATGCTCGGCCTGCTGCGACGACCTTCGCTGTCGCTCCTTCAACACCCGAAACAGCCAAGGGGGAAAAACTTGTCAGTTAAGCAATGCCACCCGTAGTGACGATCCCAGCAAGTTCGAGAACAACAACTTTTTTCTGTCTCTTCTTCGAAATCTAGAGTCAAAGCCTCATAGGACAGATAAACAGCACAGAGACTTTGTTCAGATTGTATCTTTAGAGCACCATTAAAATGTGTAACGTAGTGATCAACTTTTACCGTAGACTGTTACAGTTAGCACGCTCCTGACGACGGACAGCGCATACTTTCAGGACCATACATAAACTCATGAAATAGATATCCTACATGGTGCTACCGCAAACCTCTTCAACTAACTTGCTACCTTCACTACAAAAAGCTTCAGAGCTCATTTTAACATCGATTTGGAAGCCGTTGAAATTCCGAAACACGAAATCAGGAATTTCAACTTAGTTCATATAAGAAGAAACCTTGTGAGGAATCTTGACGAAATCTACAGCACTTTAAATGCCCATAAACGTTTGAAAAACATTAATTAATAATAAAAAAGTAAGGAAAAACATACCAGAAAACTGTCAGGTGCTAAAACCGCCCTAAGGCTTGTATTTTTCCCGCAATTGTTAATTTTGATTTTTTTCCCTAAATATATGTCTTTTTTTTTCAAACATCCATTTGCTGTGCAGATTTCAATATTTGGACATAAATCGTCTCCCAAAGACAAGAAGACAAAACCAAACCGGGAATGGTGTATTGAACCTGTTCGTGTGATAGCAATATTCGACAGTTTTCGACTGCAGTCTGACCAAGGCAATTTTAACGTTGATCCCAGTCCATTGAATTTACTTACACGAGAGATCACACATAGATGTATGAAGTTTGTTTCAACATGATTTAACATTTGGAAAGAACCGTAGAAAAATTTGAGTCACGAATATCGTATGTAGGTTGTTTCATTCAAACTGTAAATAAAACTCTATAATTTGAGACAGTTTTAAAATATTTGCAACCGATGTTATTTGAATATTTCTGGATTTTTGCACTTCAAATGGACGTAGTGAGTGAGTTGTTAGAAGTCAGTAAGTGACAAAGTGCGTCAGATAGGAAAGGACAAGCAACATCCAGCGTGTGTACTCGAGAGAGACAAAGAAGTTGTCATGTTTGTCCACGTTTATGGTTAAAGTTTATTTTAAACTCCATCTATACTGAGACAAAATCAATATTAAGCTGTGTCATAACACTGTTGATAACCTGGGAAATCATAACAGATGTTAGTGTCAGATCTTGATACATGTAATGTGTCTCTGTAGCCGTGTTTTATATCGTTTTGCCTGAATTTGTTGCTACGTGTATTGAACTTCAGACTGGAAAAAAAAACTGTCTCTATGGGTGTGCCAACGTGGCGCATAATGTTATCGGCGTGTAGCCCATATACAATGCTAACAGCTGGGTAGCTGGGGTGACAAAAGGGGTAACTACTACCCTGTGAGAACTCTTGTCCCTCCCCCTTCCCCCATATCCCACCGGAAGAGCCTAGCATTTAACGCCACCGCATGCTAGCAGTTAGAGGAACATCTCAAGTATATAAAAGATACATCCTCTTGAACATACGTGAGTTGTGTGATAAAAACACGCAAGCGGGGAGGGGTTGCATGTTCTGCCATTTTGTAGTTTGGTAGGTAAGTGCATTTTTAATTATGAGAGTCCAAAAGATTTTTTTTTATTTTGTTTCGAGATCATTCGGTTTAAAATCGGACGACCAAGATCATTTTGTTTGTTTGTTTTGATTTTCACAGTTGAAAAACCAGGGACATCTGTCTACTGTCATTATTTATTGCGCAATTATAATCTGTATTAGATTAAATTAATCAGTACTGGTCACAGCTCCGAACAGCTATAGGGGGTTCACAAGCGCCCTCTTGTGACATTTATTCATTAGTCTTCGGATATCTTCTGGGAGCGGCTAACGACAGCCATATGTGCACGATCGTAAGAATATCCTTCGCGTTTATGTGAAAAAAATTAATGTCCCGGATATCGCTTGATAGGAATCATCTTGGCACAGACATGACAGACAAGCAAACAGTTCCCTAGTTTGCGTTGTAAGAACTCTTCTTTCTTCCAATTTAAGTCGAGTCGTTTGGATGTTGTTTTCCCTTTGAAACTGCTATAAAAGAAAAAAATATAAAAACTGAGAGCCTAACGTTACTTTTTATTTTCACACTGCATGACCAGGCCGATCTAGGCTAGCCTAGTACTGCAGTGCTACGGTAGGCACTGACTTGTTTATGACGAAAAAAGGCACATTCTCCATGTAGTACATGTTTAGATTGTTGTATAGTACATGTAGGGCTATCGATATATGGTGGGTGTGATCGGACGATCATGACGATTTATACGCTCACTCGATTTTTGTGCAATCTGTCATGTTTTTATGTCCATCTATTTATTTTATTAGGCCTAGATACAATAAGCTTACACCGTACACGACATGACACGATGTGCTGATATTTCTGAGCCAACCACCCTTTCTTTCTAACTTGCGGTTGTGAAACTGAAACATTCTTTTCAAAAAAGGAAATACAGGCACTAGGCCTACACTACAGTTGGAGATTTCATATTGGATCGACTGATTCTTACCGTTGGACATCCGGGAACTTACATGTAGGCTATGGGCCTAGGCCTACATGCAGGCCAGAGTGCATTTCTACATAGCTTTGAAAACCACAAAGGGGCATTTTGCTTCTTTTGGGTGTGTTAAAATGCCACAGTGTGATGACTGGGAATAGCGTAACCAAATTTTTGTAATCATGCTGATTGATACCCCACAAACTGTGGATTCTGACGTCCATTCCTTTCTCTCTCGTGGGAGAGGAGTGGACGTCAGACCCCACAGTTCAAGGGGTAGCTGACTGACTGATTGTGCCAAACGGCGCCATGCACAGAATAAACTAAAAAACTGGATCATTCACAATTGGGCATAATATCTGGACTACTCCATCTAGACTTAATAACATGGTCCATGCATAAAGCATGGAGGAAGGAGGGAAAGTTACAACTTATATGTATAACATAAAACGGCGTATATTACTAATGCTCTTGCCAGCAAGGAACATAAACAACCAGTTAATGAGTAAATATGAGTCTTCCTCCGAAACCATTATTTCAATATTTGTTTATGTTATTCTCAGGGATGTGAGAATTTGGCTTTTTAGCTGATTTCAGCTTTTTTGTTTAGATGTTGACCCTGAATTTCAACTTTTTTGTATAACCGGCCTGTACAAAAGTATGGAAACTTTTTACATTTCAGCTTTTTGCTAAATGTAGCTGTTCTCAGCTTTAATTTTATGTCCACTCACACCCCTGTATTCTCCGACCCTAGTAGGCCTATCAGGAGTTTGCTCTGTCATGCATCTGCTTTTGTTTTTTGTCTGACATGGAACAGCAGTAGGGAAGTGAGTTGACCCAAGATCAGGATGGCAGAAAAGCCAGTCAAGACCGGCTCCAAGGTGGAGATCATAGGAAAGGGCTTGCATGGCAAGGTGGCGTTTGTGGGCGTGACTGCCTTTGCATCGTGAGTTTGTAGAGATGGAATGGTTGTAGATGGGTCATTCCATGAGGCTGGGGCACAATTTATGACGGTGTCCTTGTTACATCGGTAACTTTTACCTCCTGTCATGACCTGTAGAGTAGGTCATTTACTGTGTAAAAATGACACCTACCTCTGTATTCAGCCTTGCCAGATGTATACTTTGGAATCCACATGCAGGGAAATAGCTGTTCATTTTTATGAAACCAAGTGACAATGGACACCGTCACAAATTGTGCCTCAACCTCGTGGAATGACCCAGATAAAACAGGTACAACTCATTTTGGGGACAATTGCACATTTATACCGGACAATTGCATATTTATACCGTACATGTACGGAATGAGTACCATTAGCATTCATTCAGTGATTGTCGAAAAAAATATCCTTTTGTTCCCAACACCCATGAGAACTCTGTCCGTACACATTCGTGTCATGCAGCTGATCCCTTATACATAGCACTGGGCTTTCTGTAACTTATTCTGTTGACATGGTAGAAGGACTTGCAGGAGAGCCATTCATAAATTCAGTCCCCTGAATTTCGCAGAAATATCACATTGTTTAACATGAGGCCTGACCTGTGACCAAGTACACATGCACTGTATGGGCATCTGGTTCCAACAGCAGACATTTTAAACTGATAATGGAGCATGGGGTCTAGCCAAGGGTGGTGATAAAAACAGAGACGTGGAAAAAGTGCTGATTAGCTCACTAGCAACACCACCAGCCCAGTTGATACGTCCCAACTAGAGCATCTGTCCCAACTACAGTGGCGCAGTCTGGCCGGCCCAAACTGTGATATGGTGTGCCATAGAATGTGCCATCATAACTCGGTATATATCGGCAGCACGTGTTAGCAGAATCTAGTTTGGGTGAAATGGCAGGTTGGCATTATTGGAAGAGTCTTTCACAGGTGTAAGCCACAAGTAACCCAGAGAGGGTTGAGAAAATTTCTGCAGAAATTTACCGGCGTTAGGCCGGCCCAATGACAACACCACAGTTGGGACCATGCCAATCATAGTGGGGACAGATGTGGCAGTTGCGACATAACACATTTACCATGATTTATGTCTTGAATTGTGACCTGTGTCAGGCCGTATTTTGTCACTAGAGTGGTGTCATTGTTACGTATTTGAATGGCACCATTTGAATTTTGACAGAGGCAAGTGGATTGGGGTTGTTCTCGACGAACCCAAGGGAAAGAACAATGGAATCGTCCAAGGCAAAAAATACTTCAGTTGCCCGGACAACCACGGGATATTCGTACGCCAGTCGCAAGTAAGAACACAGCCTGTGGACAAAAATTTTGGAATCGATGCTCCTTTGCGATAATTTTAGTCATCTAAAGTCTTTAAGATCACCTATGACAAGCAGTCGTTGATGTCATGTACTGCATTCAAGATCGTTTCTATTCTTATAACTGGAATGGATCTGTTCAATACATACGTATACAGCAGTTACTTGAATATTTTTGATCATTTGACCCATCTTTAGACAACCCCTAAGGATTTAAAAAGTTCATAAAATAAACCCAGAAATGACCGCATTAGACTGTCCTTCAAGAGAATATTTGAAAGGGAAAACCCTGGGTACTGTTCATCTTGACACATACAGTTGTAGTTCTTTCTTGATTTTTCTAGCAAAACCCACCAAAATCGGGCAGGAACTGAAAAACCAAACAAACTTACAAAACGTTGACCTGGCCAAGATTTGAAACCCCAGCTCAGGAAAGTCACCACCATGTCTCATTGACGCCCCTGTTCTGGTTTAACCCTAACAATCCCAAATCCTCCAATTTCAACACGATTTAACATACACCCTTGGGGGTTAGGGTTAATGTAATAAAGAGTGTCATAGTCACTATTACTTACATCATCAGATCACCGTAGAGGAGTCTCCCCCAGGCAGTGGGACAGCGTCCCCAGGAACTGCCTCGCCTGCCCCCACTGGCATACCCAAGGCAGACAAGGTAAAGTGGTGAATCTCTTAAACATTGGCTCAGCAATCAACACAATAATTCTTGTTTCCAAACCTTCCACTACAGCCCCATTCCTATCAGGTTTTCCCCGTTATGTGTCTTAAGCTAGTCTTTCAAAGTGCTGTCCATTCAGTATGTATTGAAGTTTTTCCCTCATGCAGCCTGTTCAATGCGACAGATCCCGACACTGCTGAAACGAGAACGCTGCTTAATTTAAGACAGAGAAAAGTCCGGTTGTAACGGGAGACCTGTTGCTTGACGCAGCATGACTTGATGGCACTATGCAGCACACTGGATTTATAAGCACAGAGCACTGGCACAGTTGGTTAACCCACTATACCTGCCCACCCTTGTTGTCTGCTAAATTTAACGGCGCACAGCCACTTGTGACCACTGGTGCATATTTGGCAGGGTTAGGGATGACTCATGCATGCGTCCGTCTTTAATGCATGTTTTGAAGGTTTGTCTCTTACCATCAACCCCAGTGTGGTAGCTGAAAGTCGGAAATTTAGCTGGAACCTTTCAAGGTACGCCAGTGGGAGTTACGGGCTTGTGGCTAGAGTCACTCCCCATAGGCATGTGTGTTAATATTGGCCACAGCCACTTGATTTGGACACAACTTTAGATGCGACATTTCAGCTGGGTCTTTGCTGGAAAATTAGAATGCTTTTAAGTCCAGCAAAACATTGTGTGTCAGAGCTGTCTGGACTAATTTTGCTCTTTCCAAAAGCAAAGTTGGTTGTTTAAAAGAGAAATCAGTTAATTAGAATCTCTTAGAACAGATATCATTTTGCAAATTCACATAATGTTACTACAGGCCCCGGCTGAACTGTTCCATTTAAATCTTCCCTCAGCGTGATGTAGCTCACGCACTAAAACTACCAAAAACTTTGACAACGAATAAGGGTTAGCTAACAAATTATTGCACACAGTTGTCTCCGTCTGGGAAGAAGCAGCCAGCAAGCACGTCAATTAAGTCCAGCGAATCACCGGCGGAGAAAGTGAGTCCAGTTCTGTCATGCATGCCTTCCTAGCAGCCGCCTGCCCTCCAAACATTTCAATAGCCATCACACTGCATCTGTTATATGTACCCTGCGCAATTCAGCTGTAGGCAGCTTGCTCTGGCTTGTGGACGTTTCTTTCATGAGGGGTGTGAGAGGGGCGGGGGGCACAATTGAATGCCATTTTATCTTTCAGGCAATTTGCTGCCTTTTGATTGTAGTCGGAGGTGTTTGTTGTGTAGAGAGTGGGAAATGTACTTCATCCTACTTCTTTAATTGCAGTGGATGGAATTTCTGGCTGAAATCTGTCCATTTCGCACGATAATATACAGCCTATACGTACATGTATGCGTCATTATCATTTTCGTAAGTACCTGTATAACATTCCGCTGAAGAAGAGCTCATCAGAGGAACAACTTTGTGTTTTTGATTAGTCTAAAACAAGAGCGGAATAGAGAGTGTATCATTTGACGTTCTATTGAGTGTAAAGAAAGAATTAATAAACGGGAAGTTTGGTCAGGTCCTCAAGACTCGTATTACATGGCCATGTAATTGGTAATTGTTAAAATTTCAGCCTTCACCCCTTTCAGTTAAGCTTTTTAATAATGGAGAGCACACGTCATTGCATTTTCTAGGGCTTGCAGTTCTCAGGAAAGTTCTTTGTTCATATGAAGAGATGTTTTTTTAATGAGCAGGATCAGATTACTTCATTGTAACATTGTCATGCCAAGCCATTGAAAATTGACGGCATTTGAAAAAATTATTCCTTTTATAATTGGTATTGTATTGCTCATACACATTAATTATGCATGAATGCATGTATCCATTCCGTTTGTGTGGTTCATTGCCTGGATTTGGTGCACATGTGTGTGTTGTGTATATTTCCATTTCTAAAAACCCTTGTTCTTCCAGTCGTTGTCCGTCCGTCGTATCGCCAAATACTCCCCCGCACGGCGATCCACAGAGGGTTTGTCGAGAGTGAGTCTTTCGCCGCTTACCCGCGGTAGTTTGCTTGCATGGATCCGCATTCTTTTCAAAGCATTGACATATTATTTTTATCTTTTTTCTTTTGTTGTTTTTGATATTTGGTTTTTGTTTAAATGATAACTTCATTGGAGATTTGAAAGTTAACTATTGTTTGTTCTTCATGTTGATTAACTATTTGTAAACTTACCTCTCCATTAGTCTTTCCAGTCGGTTGAGGGTAGACTTGGTCGCCACTTTGAATAAAATTGTGGCTTATAGGCTAACTGATTGGGGAAAACTCAATGACGAGCCACAATCCTTGACAAGATAAAGATGAGATACTGCCTGGTTTTTTACTCTTCATTTAACGTTAATTCCCTTTCAGGTGTAAAACTGTGAGAGTTTTCCACTTCCACTTTTTTCAAGCTACATGCGCCATGACGACACTTTTTTCTTACATTGCATTCATGTACTTATCTGTGACATCTCGTGCAGTTTACACGTAATACTGTTTTGAAAAAAATTTGAATTGTTGTCAGAGCCTAGAGTTTTCAGCCTCACTTCTCTCTGTCTTGAGAAGTTTTTACAGTGAAGAAAAAATGCAGCGTGAAATGAAATGGTATTTTTCATGGGGTTTTGTGTTTGAAATCTACCCTTTTGACAATTGTTATACCTGTCTGGAAATGAAATTTGAGTGCATGCTTGTTATGTTTACTTGCAAATCCACAAACTAATTGTTTAAAAGTTGATTTCAAGATAAAGATGTATAGAATATTTGAAAAGAAAGTAAAAAACTTGTACATTAGGCCAAAAAAGTCTCCATTTCTGGTCAGCACGCGTTGCCATAGACCTGCGGTTCAGCACAATTGAAAAAGATTTTTATTTCATATAATACGATGTCCAAAAGCTGCCAAACTTGCTTGATCACCTAGAATCCTGCTCCTGCTTAATTTTAACGTGTGTTAGATGGGGTACGGTTGTGTTATATGTATTTAAACAGTAAATAGCGAGGGAGCCAGTCTATTTCATTGTTGGCAGCGGCGGTACCTACGTACATACATCATATTTTGGAAAAAAAAGGAGGGCAAAGAAAAAAGGCGGTGTCGCCACACCCCTTTTTAAGCCAACCCCTGATCAGAACTCGGAGACTTTTTTTTGGCCTTAGTCAACAATTTGAGTTACTATTGAAATTTCCTTTGATCTTCCGTTACACAAAGAATTTTTTTTTAAAGCATTTGCGTAAGCTTCATGCACATAAAATGCAAAGGGGACATTTGGTGTCTTCAATTCAAGGTCTCTGCATGGCACTCAGTTCCTACAGTTCTTAAAAGATGTTTTCTAAAACACAAAATCTGTTGGCATGATGCTCATGTCATTGATATCGACTTCTGTACATCTCAAAGTACCGCTTAAGAACAGTTAACTAAATACATGTATAACTAACATACGGGCCGATACCGGTCAAAACTGTTGACTTCAAAGTTCATCGTTGTTGGGAAGATACAGGTCATTCCATGAAGTTCGGGCCCAGTTTGTGACGGCGTCCCTTGTTACATCAGTGAAAATAAACATCTTTTTTCCCTGCATGTGGATTCTAAATTGACATTTTTCTAAATCTTGCTAGGTTCTTGTAGTGGTGTGCTTCATCTTTGCTGAATACAGACTTAATCTGTTGTAATGTGGAAATAATGGGCAATAAAAGTTACCGATGTAACAAGGGACGCCGTCACAAACTGTGCCCAAACTTCATGGAATGACCCATCTACGTACATCCATGTCAAACAACACTGCAGAATTAGTGTGATGTTTTTCTGAAGACTAGAACTGCAGTTAAACTCTGCGGGATAGGTTGCAGGAAATTATGCAAATCTTTGGCAAGAAATGGAGGACTTCACTGGACATAGCCGAGTCAATTAGATAAATATTTTTAAATGGTTCAAGGTTGATTAACTTCCAATTGTAAGGGAGTGGAGATATTTATCATGCCAAACTGTGATGGCCTACTTACAAACTTTCTCTAACTCAAATGAAAATTGAGCACTTACCCGAGCCATGATCAGGTGATCAGTCTTTAGTTGTCGAAGTTGTCATTGGAAATACATGTATGCTTGCATTTGAATCAATCATCCCCTTTGATTGTGTTAGAGCCATCGTAGTCACTATAATGACTTCTTTTACTCTGACGCTTGATGCATGGCATACCTACGTTATATGCCAACAGAAGTCCATGTTATGTGGTGTTGTAATGTAACCTTGCTCTCATCAGTCATCGTCCAAGGTTGTTGATTTATTAACATCATTCTTATTGAGAGATGCTTCTTTTTTTTCTCCCTGATCAACCCTTTACCTCTGTCCTACCCATCACCCGACCTCCCCCAGTCCCGTGTGGAGAGCCCCATCACTGATGCCCCTTCAACGCCTTCCTCTCGCCTTCCTCAGCCCCCCACAGCCGGTAGGCCAGCCATCAGTGGCGGCGATGCTCAGAGCTCAGAGCAGGTAACACACATATCCTGTCATCGGCTCAGACTTGTACCGCGAGCATGAACTCTGTTAAGTTTGAGAATCCTTGTTTGCGTATTGGGTTTGTATCCTAATCCCCAAACCTATGATTGCATCTTCTCCGAGATCCAGGGTTGTTGTTTTTGTATTTGTGTTAAGATATGGGAAAAGTTAAAGGCAGTCCGTGTCCAAGGTGAGCCCCATGATATGTAGTTGAATGTCAAGTCCAGATGCCAAACTGACATCTTGAACTCCATGAGAAAACAAGGACGTTCATCATTTGTGTGAGCTGTGAGCCATGCAGATCTGCCTAAATTAGACTAATCTTGCCCTGTCTTCAATCATGCACATGATTTGAAATAGACTTTAAATCCTTAAAAGTCTGTGATCCGTGTCATCAAATTGACGATGCGTTTTCTTTGGAGATTCGACGAAACCGCTCTCCGTCCAGATTAATTACCTCACCTGGCTAGGATTATTATGCAACACTGCACTGCAATATTTCCTACAGAATGTCATAACTTGATGCGATCCATAGGTGGGCTCACTGAAGCTGGAGGTGCAGGATCTGAAGGAGAAGTTGGAGACGCTGAGGATCAAGCGAGCCGAGGACAAGATGAAGCTGAAAGAAGCCGAGAAGATGAAGATACAGCTGGCGCAGGTAACCGAGGGAACCTCTCCGAACCCGGAGCACAGTGGGGTGTCGGAGAATGCGCACACGATTGCGGTGTGACACTCACACCGGGACTGTTCCCAGCATTAAAACATTTAGGTGACACTGTCACTTTCTGAACAGAGGCCTGTGATGTTGTTTGTCTGTCCTTACAGTTGGCCGAATTCAAAGCCAAGATGATCGAAGCCAAGAACGACCTGGAGAGACAGCTTCAGGAAGCCAAAAAGGTTTGTCAAATGAAGTCATACCCCCCCTTTCCCAGCTCATCCTCGCACTCCTGATATCCTGCTTGAAGTAGCACACTTCAGTAACTCTTGGAAAGGGGAGAGATGTAAGGCCCGCCCCTCCCCCCACATTGGTTCACCTTATTTTCCCCCTTAAGAAGTACCAGATTTTTGAAAATGTATTTAAAGTTTTTGAAAGGGGCAACCCCCCCAAGATAGGTAAGCAGAAGCACCTTTGGCGGCCATTGAAGTTGTCGCTCGTCTGTTGCATCAATCAGGTTGCCTGTCCATCCATTTGACGCATTGGTTGGACTCAGATTCGTTGCTTGCACCATTTAAAAGAAATTCATCTCTGTCTCGGCGTCTAGGAAGCTCGCGAGGCAACAGAGGCTCGTGAACGATACCAAGAGGAGATGTCGGAAGTGGCCGAGACTATCGAGATGGCAACTCTGGACAAGGAAATGGCCGAGGAAAAAGTGAGAATCAGGCGGCAGCAGTTGCTCAGGAAACCATTGATTTCATTGTCTTGCTCAGCGTCAACTGTTGTTAGATTAATCCCAGCAGACCACTATCCTCCAACTTTAGTACAATTTTTTTTACACTCGAGGGCCAAGTATACCAGATTTCAAAAGTCTTAACCCTAGTTCTTGATACATATTTTGGAAATTTGTGACTCTTCTAGAGATATCCACCACCCTTTAAAAAGGTATTGGTACATTCTATGCTCCTTCCAAATGGCATCAAGATCTATGACAAATGATGGTGGCTATTCCATACCTGCTGAATTTTGAAGAGTCTGGGAAGTGGGGCTGGCTCAAAAGACTTCTAAAATTTCTAAGACAATTTAGTCTGATCGTTCTGCTATTTTGTTATAACTTTTCTGGGTGTTGTTTAGTGTGACTCTCTTCAAGCAGAGGTGGACACCCTGAAGGAGAAAGTTGAGGAGTTGACCCTTGACCTCGAACTACTCCGGGGAGAGATCGAACAAGGAGGTAAGAATCACAGCCTCAGGCTTGGATTACGATACTCTGTAATACGATCTACCGCGATCTTATCTGCTAGTGGAACTGATCCCAATTTCGCGTCCCAGCGCGAAGGGGTTAATTTTAAACATCTTGTGTTGTTTCCAAAGGAACGGATGGTGCCTCAGCCAATTACCAGTTGAAACAGATGGAGCAGCAAAATGCACGTCTTAAAGAAGCACTGGTCAAGTAAGCATCATTTATATTGCCTTTGAGTGTCATTCTTCATATTTAATTCACCTCTTAACCAGTTGTCATCAGAACTTTGGCTTAGTTTTCAACTCTTTCCAGTGACAAAAATTAGGCTGATATACCAAACAAATGCATATCTTTTCTCAAAAACACATTTGAATATAACAGCATTGAAGATAAGACTCAGAAGTACTTATTTGATAACGACTCCTAACTGTACTTGCCAATTGGTGCAAGACTGTATAGTCTTTGATATTGGATCCAGCAGTCCAGGATTAGAATCGCTGTTTAGTTTTGTCTAACTTTTCCCCGGTCCTCTGCAGATTGCGAGATTTGTCTAATGCCGAGAAGCACGAGCACCAGAAAGCTCTGAAGGACAAGGACAAGATCGTAGCGGAACTCAAGGAGACGAAGGCGCAGAAGGAAAGTGCTAACAAAGCCCTCAAGGTAAGGCAGGGATCCAGACCAAGATCGCTGGGTTTCACAGCTTCCTTTGCAAAGACTGGCATCTGTAGTGTTTATGCTTTTTATCAGTGATCATTACCAACATACATTGGAACTAGACAAAGGTGACTGAAGTTGACCTGCAAGTGTTGGCTGGCACCTGTGCTTTGGGTTGTAGGTTCATGGTGTATGCGTTGAGTGCTTACGGGTGCAAGACAAAGGTAGCTGAAACTTCCATGTTTTCTCTCGTAAAAAAAATCCAGCTCACAGTTTTACTCTTTTGATTCATTTCTGCAGGACGCCGAGAACCAAATCATTGAACTTAAAGAACAAGTAAGTTCCTAAATTAACGACTTGGTCTGTAAGATAGATTGATTGGCGATTCAACCACACAACAGTTCTTAACATTTGACGAGGTCTTACTGAACCTAATGATATCTGTTTGGATAGAAATTTTGTGTTGTTAGCTATTGAAAGCCTTGAAATATCATTGTTACATCCTCCTATCTCATTCCTTCCTTGGTTCATGCACTTGTTGCAAACGTTACTAACACTGCATTTTTCTGGGGTCGTACGTCCTGGTCAGGTGGATGCTGCTCTTGGCGCCGAGGGCATGGTAGAGACATTGACCGACAGGAACCTGGAACTGGAGGAACAACTCCAGGATTTGCAGACCACCGTCGCGGACCTGGTAAGATGTTCGGACCAGAGGTTAGATCCTCAGCGATGTCTCCGATAAACAAAACAAAACAGCAGATGAAGTGAACTGACATTTACTGAGCATGTCAAATTTCTTCTGTTTAGTCATTGTAGCTGCATAAATTAGTAAAAACACTCCTGAGCAGGTCAATCAAGGGTCGGTAAGTCACAAAGGGTTGGAATCAACTGCAGTAAAGGCGTTCTTTTCAATCTTGTGTCACTGCTCACCGCCTGTTCTGAAGTGAATTCTGAGCTGTGGAGATGTGACCCAACTTGATTATTATTAATTGACTTCTGATTACATGTCACACTAGGTAGGGACAAATTCAAAATTAACTTTGGAAGACTTATTACTGTCAAAACAGCTTTACTTTTCAGACCTTTAAGATATTTAACCTTTGACCTTTAACCTCAGGAATCACTGAATGAGATGAATGAGGAGCTGCAGGAGAATGCCCGTGAGACGGAGCTGGAGCTGCGGGAGGAGGCAGACATGCAGCGCAGCAAGGTGGCGGAGTACCAGCGCCGGATAGAGGCCATGAAGGAAGCCGCCTCAGACAGCCAGGAGACCATCGCCAAGTTCCGCCAGCTGACTGCATCCCTGCAGGTATGGCCGTGTCTATTGAACCGTGCCACAGCGCTGGTTAAATATAGAAGCCGAAGCCACAGAATGCCTGCTTTGGACATGGTCTACATCCGGGCCCGGTTTGGTGAAGCTGTTGGGCTAACAATATTGGGCAGCTGAGCAGAATCTGCCAGGAACCAGTTACACAATATAAACATCACATAACAGTTGGTTGGTAGTCCGCTTTTGTTAAGCAATTTGTGTCTGATCTGATGCAATCTAAAATGTGTGCAAAGCACCCGTGTGAAATTGGTTTTCAGGAGAAGTTTAGAGAGTTTGCCAAGGTCATTTTACTTTAGTTTCTTTCAATTAGTATTTTGAGCCTCCCCATTTCTATATTTTAAAACTTTGACGAAAAGCATCACTATTAAGAAAGAGTTAAGAGACAGGTTTTGTACTTGGTATTGTTCCTTAGGAGAAGAACCGTGACCTAATCAGTCAGCAGCAGAGCGCTGCTGTCTCCCAGGATGCCGCAGCGGACATGCCCACGTTCGACTTCAAGGCTAAGTTTCTGGAGACCAAAGTTCAGGCTAAGGTATGAGCAAACACATTCATATGCATGAGTCATTTGACTGTTGCATTGGGTTTTCTTATCCACAGCCCCTGAGTAGTAAAGTAGGTCACCTGCCTGAATTTGCTCTCTGTTATTTGTATGGAGGGTTTGCAAGAGAGGCCATCTTGGATTACACTCCCTGTGAATGTTGTGGAGGGTTTCAAACTTTCACTGGAGGCAGTCGTAGGGTACAACAGCATTCTCATCGTTTATATTGCAAAATGTCTCATCAGCCACGGATATTTGCTGAATTGCATTACAAAGGAGTAAAGTCTTGTCCCTCAACATGGCTTCTTCTGAGAACTGGTCATGTTTTCCTCTACATGAGAGTGGATCCTAAAATTTAAGTTTCTTTGTTGTAGGCTGTTGAGGTTGACTTGTACAAGCTGCGCATCGACCAGGCAAACCAGCACATCGATTATCTCTGCTCCTTCATGCCTGATCAATTCCTGCGCCGCGGAGGTAAGGCTTCCCCCAAACCAAATTCGCTTAACGCAGAAAACTTTTGCTCAGCAAAAAGAGGTTACCAGCCAAAATGTTACATGATTAATATCGCCCGTGAGTGACTGTTTACTTAACATCCAACTTGGCTTAGTAGTTTTTTTCATGCTTTACAGCTCCTGCTTAGAATTCTGAATAGAATGTAAACAAACATTGACACGAGCAGTTGTGTTTGGCAGTGAAGGTTATAAAGAAAACTAGTCATATTTGTAGGGCCTCTAAGCGTTTGTCTTTTTTTTTCTCTCGCAGGTGATCATGACTGTGTTCAAGTCCTGCTTCTTATCTCCAGAATGCTGGCCAAGTCGGATCTCCTCGTCAACCAGCTCAAAGAAAGGGTACCTGCGATTCCGCTTCGTCTGATCTTGTTAAACGAATGCACGTTTTCAAAATCTGCTCCTGTTTGCCTTTAAAACATTGACGCCCATCGACGTGGGCACTCGAGAATCTACATCACTGTTACCCCCGCTCATCAAAGTTATTTTTTTTCCCTTTCGCAGGCTGAGATTCCGGAGACCATGAACCGTGAGGAAGTCCTGCGCAATAACAAAGGGGAACAGCTAGCCTTCACCAACTTTCTGATCTTCACCATGTCCCAACTACAGGCCATCCTCACCAAATATCAGATGTGAGTGCACAGAAGCCATAGTGCCCCAGGGGAGGGGAACAGATCTTAACACCCTTATTTAAAAGCCAGTTTGCCAAGGAAATCGTAATTTTCCAGCTTCAGATGATGGGGCTTCCGAAAAAAAGGTTTCGCCCAAAATTTCAAAAACTTCAAAATTTGATCCGACAAAAAAAAACTCACTTGGAAAAAAGTTTTGAGGCAGGGGTTTCTCCCCCATGCCATTTCAAAAACAAACCATAGCTAACAATTCACAAATTGCCAATTTATGCCACTTGTAGCTTAAGGGCGACTTTAAAGTGAAAATGTCTCTACCAGCTGTAGCAAAAAATGTCACCCAGAATGCCAAATTCCAACTTATAAGACTTAAAGGTTTTCATGGTGAAAGAAACTAGATCTATAGTAAAGATTGCGGTAACACCATGTCAACATGGTGTTACCGCAATCTTTATTATAGATTTAAATTCCAACTTGTGTAGGTGCAACTGCTTGCTTGTAATTTGAGTTGAGTTTGAGTAATGATTGAGTTGAGTTTGAGTAATGATTGATTTTCCCTGGAGGGAGAGGCTAGTACAATGACTTGTTGCTGTGTTTCATCTGCATCTCTCCAGTGCTCTGACTAACTGCAACGTGGCACTGCTCTGTAAGATTGGCACCCTGTATCCTGAGATGTCACCGCACGAGACGGCCCTGGATTACCTGATTGATCTATTCCGCAAGGACCAGGTAAAAAAAAACTGCTGGTAACCTCCAGGTTGTGCTGGAGAAAGCCTGGACGCAGACCGCCCGAATGCCATTGCTAATTGGCACCCATGTGAAGATCCTGAAAGCTGTTTTGTACATTCGAATGAAAAATGGTCATTCTGAGTCCTTGCCGTGCTCAGGTGCATTTGTTTAATGTGGAGACAACTTTGTTTGCATTCTGTTGAAAGTTGGTCATGCCCACACTGCGCCATTCACAAGCACCGTCAAACCTGTGTACGCAAAGGATATGTCCTGTCTTAGCTCTTGAGACAAGCAGCAAAACGCCTAGCCATCTACTGTTGTAGTTGTCTGTGGCTATGGCTATTCACCATATGGCACGAATGGGGAAAACGGTAGCCGTAGCCCCCCAAAATACCTGAATTGGATGGGATTCAAGATCTGGATGCCTTGCCATTTTCTTTCATTGTCAACAGTTGGACGAGACAACCTCTCTGGAATCCCTCATGAAGGCCATCGGGTTCTTCACCCATCTCTACAACGTTCACCTGTCCCAGGAGAACGTGGATCAGACCCTGCTGATGGCCGACAGCGTGCGGCTGGTGTCCTCCGCCACAGACATCGTTGGCCTGGAAATCAAGAAGCTTCGAGTTCTGATGCAGGTAAGCGCAAGGGGAGAGTAGATTTTGTACAGTGAAATAACATGCTCTTGCACTTTTGTAAAACCTGTGAAGGATAATATTACATAACGGCATCGTCGTACCTACTCAGTATTGAGTTTTTTCAACTTCGTTTGTTCAATCCACATTCCTCCACCCGCAGGCAATGCAGGAAACCAGCCTTTTTTATTTCCGTTTGTTCAATCCTGTTACACCCACAGGCGATGCAGGAAACCAGTGATTTTCTTTTCATTTCTGTTTGTTCAATCCTGTTACACCCACAGGCGATGCAGGAAACCAGTGATTTCTCGATTCTGCTGAAGGATTTGGAGGGAACCAACGCAGACCTCAAAACCTTTGCGCGCATGGTAAGGTTTTCCGTGTATGGTTTGCACATCCTAGGGTTATTCCTGTATATACACCGTTATCTTCATCCTACTTTGGGGGGCTCAGCGTCACAAGTTGTTCAAGATCAGTTAGGGTCGGGCATGCGGGATGAAGTTTTGCAGTTGTTGCTGTTATCAAGCTATAAGTGTGGATCCTTCTGTCTTTTTTGTCAGATTCGCCGGCGATTACCCCAGGTTGAAGGCAGTGACGGGCCCACCCCAGGCCCACAGGCCCTCGTCTACGGAGGAGACGTAAGTAAAACCTGACCTTGTCAGCCAACTCACTGTTTCCTTCCATCGTTAATTCCGTTTCCTTGAGTTGTAGAGTCAGAGGTTTTCTCTTCAATTTGAACATGTACATGTACACAAGGCTCTCAAGATCAAACAATCAATAATCATTTGAACTAAAGATTGTTCATATCAAACAAAATTTTCTAAAGGTATTACCCACCAGTCCTACATCCTTCATAACGCAGACCAGTGTGAACATTTGCGATAACGATCGACAATCAACTTGGATACTTTCTGTGCCACATTCCTCCTGAAATGGGCTTGAAATATTTGTTCAGTCTCTGACAGTTGAACACTCTGAAAATACATGCCCTCCTGTTGCAGGTGCAAAGCTCTTTGACTGAGTGCTGCGAGCACCTAATCACCTTAGTGGCTGGACTGCGCGACCTCGGACAAGGTGCCATGAAGGTTGCCGGCTCCTTGGCAGGTAAGACATTCTTCTCTGAAGCCTTGAATCCCGTCTCACATTCTTGTTTTCTGTGCCTATATCCAGACCCTTTTTTAAATTAGAGACATGGCGTTTCGCTCAGAACAGTACCAATAGAAGTATAAATTTGACATTGGGTGGAATGAAATAGGAGCAACATTGAAAGAAGCGACTCTTGAAAAAGGAGATAAAAAACAAGATAAAACAGTTACCCGTGCTGAAAGTCAAGTTTTTGATTTCGTGTGGGACTGAAGGTAAATGGCACTAGACCCAACAAAATGAGCCTTACGGAATTTTCTTCATGTACTCGTGCATTATGTGTCTCTATAGAAAGACCACACCCAGCCCTCTATTGCGATGTATTACTCGCTTTGATGTGTTGATGAGTATGGGTGTAACATTTGGAGAGTTGCTTTACGCTTCTGAGCATCTTCAGTGATGGTGGACATTTTAATGATTGTGCTTTTCATTCAAAGGACCGTGTTTTTCATCACATTTAGCATATAGATACATGTAGCTGCCTTTTCAAAGTTAGAGTAGTTTTTTTGTTCTAAGAACTTTTGTACTGTGTGATTTTGACTTGCTTATTTTAAAGTAGTCATCATCAATATGTAAAATTTAGGGTATGCATATGCATGTAATGTTGGTAATTTGAATTCATTACTACCGTGTAAATTGTGTTAAATCTCTGCTATATTGGCATTTAGAAGTTATCCAGTCCATTCCTACAAACAAGTGAACTTTCACTGATATGTGCACGTTAGGAGGATTTTACATAAAGATACATGTAGATTTGTGGGTAGAGCACAGATGAGGTTTTCCAGAAGTCACAATATCTTATCACACTGAAGTCAGTTTCCTCTTTGACTGAAAGTCTGAATTACATTATGGAAGCAATTACAAATACCCCTCGGGATGTCGTCCGTTCGCCAAGCTTATGATCCATCCACTCAGCAGCAATACCAATTGGTGTTCTGCTCCAGGGAATCGAGATTCAGATTTCACATTTTATAGACAAGTTGTCCTTGTGGCCTCCGATGACAGTATGGAAGATTTTGATGAAGAAAGGAACTCATTTGCATTTTCTGTAATATAAAAACATGAGTTGGTTGAAAGTGTTCCTTTTATTCGAAAAGTCATTAGAAATTGCTGTCTTCACACTGTGAATTTTGAATGTTAGGTATTAAAAAAAAACCTGGCACCTCTTGGCTCAAACCAAGAGTCGTATGATTTGTGCATGGGGTACAGAGGCAAGATATTGAATATGTTACCAAACTAATCATTATGCACAAAATGGAGTCTACTTTGAGTTTTATGAGTCACATTATTTCAACGGAAAAAAGTGTGGAGATTTCCCCTTATAATGTCTTGTAAATTCGGGAAATTACCAGAAACAAATGTAGAACTTCCACAAACAGTTTTTATCCATTGACATTTTGATTTAAGAGTGTAATTAGGTATCTTAGGAAAGATTTCCTTTGCTTAGCGCAGTCTATGCTGTGCAGTTCATGGCACCCTCCTTTTGGGGTTTAATGAAAGTGTGCCGTTGGTGCCAATTCTAACGCAGATGCCTCTGACAAAGAGAAGAGAAAGAAGCAGGGCGGTAAGGAAGGTTTGTGGATTGTTCCGTCCAGCACATTGCGATTTAACCGCAAGCCGTTGTTACTAATAGCCTGGACAGTAACTAGCGTGCATCAAGCTGCTTGTTTGCATTGAAACTAACACAGGGCAAGCCGCATATTACGTGTAGGTAGGAGTTCCTGAGCTGGGGCACTTTTGCAGTAGCAAAGCTTAGAGGGAACCAGTCGTTAGAGATGCAGTGCATTGCATTTTGGCTGGTAACCAGCTGTTGCCGAGCAACTGTTTCTTTCCTTTTTAGCACATTTCTGCGCTGAACCATTCTGTGAAATGGGCTGCTCAGTTTTATCCACTCTGTGCACGCTCTCTGCCCTCCCCATGGCAAAAATGTAAAGACAGGTGTGCAGTCTCTGCATGGTCCGCACACAGTCGCCATCAATTTCTACACCAGACAACTAGCCAGCCTGTTAAAACAGCTCTTAGATGCTGAGACCTCGTGTAGGGTCACGTTGTATGATAAACTTGAATAGCTGGTGCCCCGTCTACACTCCTTGTGGGGTGCAGTCTTTTGGAAGAATTCTTACAGCGCACAGAAGCCAGGAATTCTTGCAGTTCGGAAGTTTTCCATTGCCACATTTTGTGGAAACCATTTGCCACTTTCTGTTTTGGAAGCTGTTCTATTACAGGTATTTAATCTTGGGCAAGTAACGCACAAAAGGTGCTTTTGTTTCTCTGTGACATTTTACTATTCAATCAGAGTGAACAGTCCTTGTAGCAGCAAATCTAGAAAGGTTGCATAGCGCCCTCATGCAGCTGTTCACAGAGTGGGTAACTAACACTGCCTAATTTCATGAATGTTAAGTCATAGTGCTTTAGAAGTACTCACTCTGCATGGGAAGAGAATTAGAAGCCATGATAGCACACGTTCAAGTCATTTTTCTTGCATCATTTGAAAAAAATCTTTGCTTGACTAGACTGTAGCAGCGTGTAGCTCCACACATTCAAATGATGTCTTGTTATGTAGTCTTAAAATGTGATGCTCCCCAGCATCTTGCTTTTTTTCTTGTTTATCACACAGGACAAGGTGTTTGTATTTTGCAAATGCACATAGCTTTAGTCTGTGCTCGCGTATATCTACCACCACAGGGGGTCACCTGAAATTTGTCTGATTTCTTGCAATAAAACTCTGTTACTCATCATTTTTTGGAATGCTCGGCACACTGTAGTTTCCTTGCTTGTATAATATCTTTGCTTTAGAGTTGCAAGTCAGTCACAGCGATGCATTTATAAGCGAAATTCTTTTGACTAGTATGGATTAGAAGCCAATGATGTCCTTTACAGTAAATCAGTGTCTTTTTTATCCCACTGAATTGCCTTTTAAAGTTCAGGGAGAATTGATTTCTCGTTGGATTCAGTGTGATTACAGTTAATTAACTGGCACCCAATTTCAGAAATCACATCTGGAAAGTTGTTACCTCTGTTTTTTCCTTTGGATAGAACCCGACGTCAGACAATCTCTGTGTCTTCTTTTAAACTCTCGATTGGAGGAGTATATGCAGCTGTGATCATTGCAAGCACCTTTATGCTCACAGCTGACAGAGAAGCCCATAAATTCGTGCATCATGGGATTGTGTACGCAGTCTAGCCAATAATAAGTCCTTGTATACTCCAGGCTGTCCTCATCGGGTTTCCTGTTTGTTATTCTTTACTCCGTCCCCCCCATGGGGCAAGAAATGTGATTCTTCCTGGAGTAACAGTAATGGTGTGTGTGAGTCGCTTCATGTGTAGACTTGTGACAAGAAAGCATGCAGCTCGGCAAATCAGAGCATTCATTTTGGTTCCGAGAGGTTGTTAATACCAAGTCTGACCCTAATGCAAAAACCGCTGCAGTTTTTGCATTTTACAGTAGAAGAAAAGGAGTTAGATGGACATGATACATTCACAAACAGTCTTTTAAGCCAGTGAAGCCCAGAATCACAGTGGAGATGAATGTATATGTACTAAACTTCCAAGTCGCATTATGTTCTTTGCCACATCATCTCAGAGAGAATGTGCTCTAGCTGGAGGATGGAATTTGGGGGAAGGGGCCTGTGACCCCTTTTTCTGTCTTTGCATAGCGAATCACGTATACTGCATTTGCTTGCTTTTTTCAGATTTTTTGTTTAATGTTCCATAGCCTATTCTGGCATGGCATTTCAACAGCCTTGATGTCGTAATTTTGGAATCGCAGACGAGTTCAGATGAGCTCATGGTAATGTGGACTTTTTTCCCCCCCCCTCCTCCGAGGCATGTTGTATTGTGGTGACAGACGAGAGGTACTTCTTGTATGTCTTTCACACCAATCCTGCATGAATCATCTGGCCCAGCACTTGTTCACAGGGCGCAAATGTGTCCGATGCATTTGACGCATTGGTCAAATCTCATAGGAATGGCCTGTCGGGGTAAAAACTTCAAAGTCGTTGACATTTTCTAATAAAGATTCTCTCGCCGCCGCACACCTAAGGTGTGTCTTGAAGGAACGGCTGACTGCATATTCCCTGGTGCTTCTGCTTGATCGGAATAACAGTGCTCGCTCGAGCACTGACCACAAAGATGGCCCCAGCTGGAAAGCTTGTTTGCTACACGCGCTGCTGACATTTCTGTGACCAAAACAAGGAAGAAAAGGTTAAAAAAAACCCAGAGTGGTGACTCTGCCTGTGCGGCTGTTCACCCTCATACACCATGACTCCTGGTAAATGACCAATTGTTCAGCTCCGTTACCCTCGATTGTCAGCCCCTCTCAACTGATTAATGAAATCACCCGTACGCATCAACTGGGCCATTCCATTCAGCGTGCCGGGTGAGCGCACCGGCTTCTGCTGCCAAGGCTCACCCAGTCCCCCCTCGAGGACATTGGAACGAGCCTGTGTTAGTGCTATCTACACTGGTTGGCCTGGAACTAACCATTAAGGAGTGGGGGGAGAGGATTTAGGAACGAGGAACATTGGAGGCTCAAGTGCGTGCATGTGGTTTTGTGAATCACATAAATAAGCTGTAGATGATGTCACTGACTGTGGATAGAACAAGCAGTCTTTGACCTTCAGTCATTGCAAGGATATTTGAGTGAGTGCAGGAGCTCCATACCAATTAGAGTCATTTCTCCCACCTGCATCAAAAGACCTTTGGAACCCTCAGAGAGCAACAAATAAATATTTGAGTACGGTTAACAAGCTGTTTTGCACCAGCCTTGCCGCTGGAGAAGAAACGCTATCCTCCCGAGTCAGAAACGGTTTCGTTGATTAGTTGATTTTTTTCTGCTCACATGTTTATTTTTCTTCGTTTAATTGAGTCGTCTTTCATTGCCTAGGAAACTGAGAAGATACTGAGGAGGTTTTGTATGTTGGAATACACTTCACATAGTCTAATAGCTAAGGCCTATGCAACAGTAGTTCATGACTTGAGTAGTTTCCTTCTTAGTCGAGATGTTTCCATCATCCATTTCCACCATGAAGATGATCCAGTTGATTAACGTGTTCCCTTCTTTGATGCGGCGCCTTTTTTAACCGTTTGTATTTATCCGTAATTCTGTCAGCTTGCAATGTCAATTTCTGAAACCGGCATTGCCAAGAAAATGAAATATTTGTGACAGTCGAGAGTGTTGCCAGGCCCTGCAGTGATATAAAGCTCATTTTTTTTGGGGGGGGGGGAATTTTGTCATTCATCAGGAAGTGCATTTATTGGCAAAAGAGTGACGGCATACATTCTAATCCATCTGAAGAGAAGATTTTACTTAAATCTTCAAAGAGTTTGCAAGGACACTACTTGTAAAAGCATTTACAGTAGTAAACCTCCAAGGTTTAAAATTTTACAATTTGTTTATGCATGGGTGCACAAATTGAATTCTTTTTCTTATCCGTTAGCCCAATTATCAGTCCATATACCACTCTGTTTGCTTAGTAATTTCAATTGAAGTTCTACACCCTTCCCTTTCCGCTTTCAAGGTCAGTTTCATTTTAATTCAATAATTTGTGTGGGTGAGTTTGT